TGCGCGAGTAAGCGAGGGCTTTCCCCTATCGACACCGATGCTTCCTTGTTTCTCAATCACGGCACAATATGTATATACAGTGGGCCATCGACTTTCGCATATAATTGGTTCCTGAAAGTGTGTGCGAATGTTGAATGTTCGAAAGTAGAGGGATGTAAAAAAATATGCACCAAAAACTGTTTTAAAGTATTTATTTATCAATATGTATACATAATGAAGTTGAGGCGTGTTAAGTGCTTTCATTTGGATTAAAATGTGCATTAGGCCCCTCAAATTTTGTTTGAACTCGGCCCCGCAAAAAGCTGCGCCGGCCTTGGTTTGATGGTTAGTCTGATGTCCCCTAAGAGGGGACCATCGGACCGCAGGGGATTAAAAAGTTGAATTTTCAAAAATGTGCGAAATAGCGAATTGTGCTAAAGTAGAACGTGCGAAAGTCGAGGGCCGCCTGTATATGTATATCGTATACTCAACACATACGAAAATTTAAAATAAAACCTTAGACATATGTAGTACTTCTTATATTTTTGGCGTATTAATCGAACTCGATACTTATGACCATATTTAATAAAACAAGTTCCAAAATAGCACTTGAATTCTCGAAATTCTAGAATCCGAATTCTCTAGAGCTGAAAATACTGAAAGCTTTGAGAACTATTCTTATCCACGACTATATCTCCTACAACCCATTCCAAGCAGTATGTTTCCAACTCATTTGGATTACTATACACCTTTAATAAATATACACGAAACAATATTACCCTGTAATTTCAATCGATCAAAGTGTTTCATTTCTACGCCAAACGCTACTTTGGAATTACAACTTTCAGATTAACACTAGAACTACTATACTTGTCAAAATTACGGATTTCAAATTTTTTATTTTTCGTTTATTACAATCGTGAAGTTATTTTTAGCGAAATTAGTGTTATCTATTATTTAAATAAATATGTTATTATACATGCCTATTTATTTCATCACATAATCTTCGTTATTATTATTATACGTACGATACATTTCAAGTATGCAGTAAATCGCAATAGCTCGGTAAATTTACTGTTAAGAAATTATTGAGAATTTTAAAACACCATATCCGAACAAAATACTATAGAATATATTAGAGATAGAAAAAAAAATACCATAGGGAACTGAAAAAGTACGTCTGGAAGGAATAAGTATCCAATGAAACAGATCAAAAGAGGTTGGTATAATTTCACAGGAACAGTAGTTGCAAGGTGGCAAATATCTTACAAATATCTTAACGTATGAGTTTCGTAGTGTAACAGTGAGCTCACTGGCAGAGAACTGATAGAACAAGCGAAGGATTCTCTTTACCTTTGTATCATCCCAAAAAATATCTTTTCACTTCTGCATACTTCTATGAATATAATTAGAGAAATAAGGATGGCAAAGATCTTGTGAAATGTGACAACGAGGCTTTCGTCGCTGGATCTATGTCTGATTTGAGAATAATTATTTCCATTGACGGCGGTGTAATAGTCAGTGATATAATTGAAGCCTACAGGAATGAAAATACCTTTGTACTCGAATCACCAGCATTGATTTGTGAGAAGACTGCAGGAAAGTTATGGAAGGCTTTTGACAATTCTTTAATATTTTATTAATTAACAAATAATGACATCGCTCGTCCAACCGTCGTTATTAATATGTTCTCGCTCATCGGCCGTTGTTATTTCACCCATACCATGTTTTCCATGACTACTCATCAGTCCTCACCATAGTCACGGACGACCGGACACGACTCTTGCCGACATTCAGCCTAACTTGCCTTACAGATTAACACGTTCACACCGGCGTGCATCACCGGTACGTCACACCGGAGGCATTCTCTCCACGGAACCATGGTTTCGTCGATTACCATATTTTTACCTGGTTTTATAGTATTCTTAAAGGTGTGAACAATTGCATCAACAATATCTCGCAGTTTATATAAACGGTTCTCAGTTCTAGCGGTGGAATTATCGGAGAAATGTAAGTATTTCAATATTGAAATAAACCGGTCGCGTTTCATTGCGATTTTTATACACGTGTACGCATACATGTCCGTTTGCGACCAATATAATCTGATTTCAGGTAGCCGCACTACACTCATGATAAGTAAAATACCAATAAACGTGTTCATTTCATCTTTTGTAACAGGCTTCCAGGCCTGTTGGTGTCTTCCGCTGCTAGTTGCAGAGTTGTTCGTGCATTCTACAGCATATTTATTCGTTTCCTCAACGATCATTGCTAATATATAGTCCGTAACGAATAACTTATACAAGGAAACAGGATCGTCGCAGTCCATGTCATCAATTAACAATTCTTCCGTGGAATTTCCGTCCAGTTCATTAGCTAACGGTTCGCTGTCAATGCTTGCCTCGTCTGAAGAGGTTCAGAGTATTTGCGTCCGTTGTACATTTCTCCAGCTTCCAATGATTGATTCATCAGATGAATGACTGCTTTCCATATCCATGGATTTACCTATTATTTAAATGTACAAAAATTAAAGAAGAAAAATGCTAACCCCCTTTCTAGAAGAAAAGAAAACTTTGACTACGTTTACACTTACTGGAAGAAATGTGTGCTCAGGAAACTCGTTATGTCAGAACTCTACTGACCTCGCACCTCATAGAAACTTCGCACAAGCCACAATACTTGCAATGCACCCTCTTCTTCACTTGCCGTCAACTCTAAACTCTCAGTAAACCTCGCGTTGTTGTCTAAATTCTCAATAATCATTCCCAATTACTAGGTCGCACACTATATATACAAAAAGTGTTGGCTGGGGCGTATTCGTTCCCCCAAAAGTCATCGATTTCCCTCAAAATGCGTGGGCGGCCCTAAACGGAGGCAGGTGAAAGTTCACCTAGCTAAATCCCATCCCGAGGCCCGCGATCGATCAAGGGAAAGGGGACCGATTTCTGGAAAATCGTGCGATGGTCCTCGGCCACTTAGCCCGGCAGTAAATCTTTCTTCGGCGACCCTGGAAACAAAACTCTAGTGCGGAGTCCCATCAACTCGCACCTTAGAGGATTTTTCCGTACAGCATGTTACTCGTGCCTCAAGTGCCAGGACCTGGAAATAAAGCTAAAAAGGTAATAACCTACTGCAATCGTTGTAAGGGCCAGCCGGCACTCTGCCTAAAAAATTATGCTTTAAAAAATTGCATAGAAAAATTAAATAATTATGTTTAGTTTATAATATTGAATTTTATATGGATTTTCTATTGAATGTTTGTTTATAATATTGAAATAAAATAACATACACCTATTTTGTATTAAATATTTTATGAAATATAAGCGTGACCCACCGGTGATGCACGCCGACCCACGGGACAGACAGTGAATTCGGGCGCCGGCGTGAACGTGTTAAGACTCTCGGTTTTACTGTCAGGAGACAGTTGCACTATATAGATTGGAAGCTCTCTTCCTTCAAAGACAGATTTCTTGGTTTTAAATTTTTTTACTGATGTGAATTTCACCTCTGGTACGTTTTTCGGTAGTAATTCAGCTAGTACGATTTCTGGCGCGCCGTTTCTCGCACAACAGCGTGAAATCGTTAAAAGCCAACAGACCACTTTTCGGAAATTCTTGGTAGAATATCCCTCGAAGCAGGATGTCGCACAGCTGAAGGTAAGACTCGAAAGATTAGACGCAGTATGGAAAAACTTGAACAATGTGCAAGCGATATTAGAAGAGCTAGATCCTGAGGATGAAGGCATGCCCAGCAAGAGAGAGGAAGTAGAGGTGGTTTTCTTCGAATTAAAGACCAGAGCACGAACTCTCTTAAATGCAGAAAATAACAATCCTCCAACACCGACCATCTCGAATTTGTCAGAGGCCTTGGGATCAAGAGACAACGCAAAATTGCCGAAGCTAAACCTACCAGAATTTAACAGTTTTTACGAAAAATGGATTTCGTTTAAAGACGCTTATACATAACGAAACATCGCTGGACGCAATTCAGAAACTGCAATACCTAAGTCCCTGCTTAACAGGAGAAGCAGCAGAAGCAATTGCGTCATTCGAGACGACAGCGGAAAACTACGAAGAAGCGTGGTCATTATTGACCTAATTATACAATAACCCGCGAGTAATAATCCTGCGGTATTTGTCGATACTATTTTCCTTGACACCCGTGCAAAGGGGTTCGCCTGAGAGTCTTCGCAAATTATTAAACGATACGTGACAACACCTACGATTTCTAAAATCATTAGGACAACCCACGGAGCATTCGGATGCAATTATTGTGCATATACTTACCGAAAGACTCGACAAAGATACGCGTAGGGAATGGAAGCACTTGCTATCAGATACGAACATGCAGACTTTAAAATGCATGATATCATTTCTTACGAGAATAAATCAAGCTTAACGGAGATAAGATAAAATTAGTAAAAGATTCTTCTAAGACTGTGGCTCTGAAAATGTCTCCAGAGACTCGACGATCGTGGCAAAAGTATCTGGAAAATTTGTATAGAGTGATTTTGTTCGAACCCCGAACAAAATGGATATTAGAAGCGAAATCAGTTCTAGCGACGATGAATTTTGTTTTGAAATACTCCAGAATGAAATCGATTGCATTTATAGAGAAACTGATGACAAAGAATGTGAAATCAGTAATGAAGATGACGATGTGGTACTGGGTGTAAGGAATCGAAAAATAAGAGTAATAGACAGCGAGTCCGAAGATGACAGTGATGCCCCACAAACCTCTGATCAATCAGAATGGACACCTTTTGACGAATCTATGGAAATACCACCTAGAATAAATTTTATTCCCGGCGAAAGACCTGCAGGGCCACAGGTATCAAATGTTGTAAAGCCTCTGGATTTTTTCTAGTTGTTTTTTACCAACGAATTGGTGGATCACGTAGTAGCAGATACAACCCGCTATGCTGCTAGAAAGTTAGAGGGAATGACTCTGTCGTTACGATCAATTTGACACACGTGGTATGTACGACACCAGAATTTTGGACGTTTATCGCAGTTATAGTAAATATGGGGACAGTGACAGCGGCCAATATGAAAGAATATTGGTCAAAAGATTCTACAAGTTATATTCCATTTTATCCGAATACATTTTCAAGAGAACGGTTTACCCAAATTTTTTGGATGCTACATGCAGAGATGGTTTCAGCGCAAGGTAGCCACACCAGAACACGTTTACAACTTATAATTGGCTACCTTGATTACATAAACTCGAGACCTTTCAACTATTTCTCACCGGGCAACGAAATTTGTGTCGATGAATCTATCGTCAAATTCAAAGGGCGAGTTTCATTTATTACATATAACCGAAAGAAACCGACCATATGGGGAATCGAAATATATACTCTAGCAGATTCTGGTACGGGATATATTTGCGGAATTCTACCGTACTACGGCAGCCTAACGACACAAATATTGATAAGGCCGGACCTTCCAGTAACAGCAAGAATTCCATTGCATTTATACACAATGCTGTTGAATAGAGGACCTGGTGCGCAGGGACACCACATGTTTACCGACCGGTATTACACCAGCTACGTTTTGGCCAATGAATTACATAAATTGAAGTGTCATCTGACTGGGACAATCTTGCCTAATAGAAAAGGGTTGCCAGATACAATTAAGAAAAGACAATTTCCAAAAGAAATATCGATGGTAGCCTGCCGCAGAATTGATAATTTAATTATAGCGTGCAAAGATAAGAGAATTGTTACGTTATTGATAAATTTTCATAATGCAGCAATGAGTAACGTAGAAGGAACCCTCCGGCATGGTGTTCAAACTGTTGTTAGAAAGCACGGTGTTGTCACTAATTATATAAAATTTATAGGTGGCGTTGACCTGACGGATCAATATGCCTCGTCGTATTGCTTTATGCGAAAATCATTGAAGTGGTGGCGCAAGCTATTTTTTGGGGGATTAGAAAAATGATTAATTAATTCCTATATTCTGTACAAGCTAGTCAAAAAGCAGAGAAACGAACAGCCAAAGTGCACGACACATTCGCGAAAATCGCTCCGACCTGCCACCTCGCTCGGTCGAAAAAGTCACCAACCGCAAAGGGTTAAGGTAGGGGAAAGAATAGAATCGGACCATTTGCCACTAGAGATTGAACTGAAAGGAGCAACAGGGATGAGGGAGCAGAGGGAGGGATACACGATTAAAAAGTTACCCCGATAGGATGAGGAGGCGGTAAACAGATATAGGAAAGCCGGAGAGGGGATGGAATTGTATGGTACAGAGGTGGAGGAGAGCTGGCATGAACTAAAAGAGAAGATGAGGAGCCGGATGGTTAGGAAACAAATATTAATAAAAGAGAGGAAGATACGGTGGGCCGACTGGTGGGACAGAGAGTGTAAACGTCAAAAAAGAAATGTAAAGGAAGCACATAGGGACTGGAAGGAGGCAAAGAAGCCGAAGGAACAGTATAGACAGGAAAAGAAAGAGATAAGAGAATTAGCAGACAAGAAGAAGGAAGAGATGAAAGAGAAAATCTGGAAAGAGGTAAAGAAGTCGAAGACACTTTAAAACTTTAAATCGAACTATGCTGCTACGACGCTATGGTCTTTTGTAACTGGATTTCCTTATTTACAATATGCGATAAGATAGTTTTGTCGGAAGTACTTTCGTGGACTAGGCTCTGCTTACATTGTAGCCAAATCTTAGCTCAATTTAGTGCGTCTCATCGTAGCATTCGCTTGAAACAGTCTTGGCAGTAAATATAGTATCTAAAAAGTATTTGAACCCTAAAAATATGGAGGAAGATCAGATCAGCTCGAGTTCGGACGAATTCGATTTTGCCGCTTTGGATGATGAACTTACAGCGATTTCGGACGGATTACGCCGCGAAACGAAAGAATCCAGTGGTGAAGACAGTGATACAGTAAGAGGTGTAAGACGACGGAAAATTAGAATTATAGAGAGCGACAGTGAAGCTGAGAGTGATGTTGAAAGTGAAACTGAGGAAGGTGCAAGCAATTCAACATGGGAACTTTGCGGAGACTACAACGAAGTGCCGTCAAATGTACAATTTATACCTGGCCAAAATCCCACAACAACACGAATAGTATCTGACTTAAAACAACCAATAGATTTTTTTAAACACTTTTTCACTAATGACCTTGTGAAAAAAATTGTTTGTGAAACCAATACGAAGTTTTTGGATTATTTTATCCCGGGCGAGCACATATGTGTGGATGAGTCCACTATAAAATTCAAGGGTCGAATTTCGTTCATAACTTACAATCCGAAGAAACCTACAAAATGGGGTATCAGAGTTTATGCTTTAGCTGACTCAAAGACTGGCTACATTTGCTGCATTTTGCCATATTACGGGTCACTCACCACAGAGCTCTTGGTCAGACCCGATTTACCAGTGTCATCAAGAATTCCAATACACTTATATCAAATGTTGTTGGAAAAAATTCCAGGTGCTCAAGGGCACCATATGTATACGGACCGCTACTACACCAGTTATTTCTTAGCGCAAGGACTAGCCAAATTAAAATGTAATCTTACCGGAACAATTTTAACGAACAGGAAAGGATTGCACAAGGAAATAAAAAAGCCAAATTTTTCGAAAAAATCCACGGTCGCGTATCGACAGGACAACACCTTAGTTTTAGGATGGAAAGATAAGAGGGTTGTCACTTGCTTGACTACGGCGGGTGACACAGGAATGACGACGGTCAAAAGAATTACACGAGGAGGTGTGGATAAAATGGTCAAGAAACCCAATATTGTATTGAATTATATAAAAAATATGGGCGGTGTTGATCGGGTGGACCAATATGCGTCAACCTATTGTTTCCTGCGAAAATCGCTTAAATGGTGGCGTAACCTTTATTCTGGGGAATGGAAATTTCCCTGATCAATTCATATATTTCGTATAAACTAGAAAAAAACAAAAAGGAGGAAAAGCCACTGAGCCATCTACGATTTTTGAAAACACTTGTCGAACAATTAAGAGGGTCGTATCGCCAGCAACGAGAGCAAGCGTCTACGTCGCATTTCGATGAAATCCGATTAAACGGGAAGCTCCACGTAATACTAAAAGGGCCAAAAAGGGACTGTAAGGTTTGTTCTGACCGCAACACGCCTCGAGGTAGGCGGGAAATTTCGTATTACTGTGATACGTGTCCTGACAAACCTAGGATGCATCTTGGATATTGTTTCACAAAATATCACACCAAAACTAATTACAGAGTGTAATATTTATTAAAATTTTGTAATACTTATTAAAATTTCTTCTTTTCGACATATAAATGAATAAACTAGTGAAATTTTATTATTTATATACGTTTGTTTGCTTATAAATGTTTTTCAATTACTTGTAATGTGTTCGCCGAATTTGGCCGAAATCGTCTCGAGTTGCTGGTTCGCGCAAGCGAAAAAGGCCTCGAGTGCAAAGGGTACGTCACGCCGCTCGCTTACGCGACACACCCGCGATGTCAGATGATTCGTCGGAATCCATACGCGATCTGGCAAATCATATGCAACTTCACATTCGTTCGTTGCAAGCGCTCGGTTGATCATCGAGCGACATCGCGAATGATCTCCTGGCAAGCATTCTCATCGCGAAAATGGGGACCGAAACGAGAAGATCCTGGGAACGCACTATGTCGGACACAGAGGTTCCAAAAATCGAAGATCTCTTCAAATTTTTACGCAACGCGTCGCATCGATCAAGGGATTATGGAATCGTTGCCAAACGTTCGACTCGTTGCCACGAAATCGGCAAAACGAAATCGAATCCAACGCGCAATAATCACGGCTATTCACGTCCGCAAGTCCCGACATCTAAACGACAAGTTTACGTGACGAACTCGAGACAAGATATCGCGGTACCACCACCATCTCCGAGTTCACAGAGACGATCGACGCCGCCATCATCTCCGCGTCCTCAGCGGCGATCAACGCCGCCATCGTCACCGCTTGCTCAACGCCGATCAACGCTGCTATATGGAACAACGACAACGAGATGCCCGGGTTGCGACGGACTGCACGCGGTGTATCAGTGTCCGCGATTTTTAGACGCAACGGTCTCTCATCGTATGGAGATCGCTCGTAAGGCACACTTGTGCCTCAATTGCTTGCAGCCGGATCATCGAATGGACGACTGCAAGGCCGGAGGATGCCGCGTGTGCAACCAGCAGCACAACACGAAACTGCATCAAGATCATCATCCGCAACCAGAGTCCTGACTCTCACCAACAGCCAGAAACCCGATCTTCCGAAGGCCACCAATTTCGTGAATAACGGACCGACTACGGAATTGATGGCTACCGCGATCGTGTAGGTGTTAGATCGTGACCGGAACCCGATCGAATGCCGGGCTCTAATCGATACATGTGCGAGCGCGAACTTCATCACGGACTCTACTCGCGAAAAAATTACGGCTCCCGACAAGAGAAAATTCGGCGACAATCGAAATGTTGAACCATTAAACACGATCGCGAACAAACTGGTCTCAACCACTGTTAAATCTAGAATCTCCGGCTGCCCCATCATGCGGTCATCAAACCTACCAGCACGACCACCAAGACTCGTGTCGTTTTCGATGGTTCGGCCAAGTCCACCAGTGGACTGTCATTGAATGACACGCTGTTAACGGGACCGACCATTCAAAACGACATCTTCGCACATCTGGATAGGTTCAGATCTGATCCGTATGTCCTGACCGGGGACGTGAAGAAAATGTACCGACAATTTCTCATAGGAAGCGAAGACCGTCGATACCAACGAATCTCGTGGCGAGACGACACCGGCAAAATCAGAACGTATAAATTTAGCACCGTCACATTCGGATTCACCTTTGCACCATTCCTCGTCATTAGGAGCATCCACCAACTAGCGGACGACGAAAGAATTCAAAGTGGGCTTCAAACGAACCACAGCTCCTAACGGGACTTCCAGATGCTCAAATCCACACTAAATACTTCGGAGACGCAACGGTCAAGACTCTTGATGTTTCATGGCAAGCGCATAACGATCGCATCGTCTATTCCGTGGATCCGAATATCGATACAAGAGTAACGAAACGAACAATCTTGTCCACCATCGCGAAGATATTCGATCTCCTAGGTCTGCTGCCACCTGTTATCACGACCGCGGAGATACTGATGCAGCAGCTTTGGAAATTAAAACTCACATGGGACGAATCGCTACCTGCCAGCATCCACACTGAATGGACCACCTACGTCAACGAACTACAACAATTGAATCAGACATCATTCGAACGCCATGTCTGTCAACGGTGCCATTCGTAGAGTGCAATTACACGGATTCTGCGACGCAAGCGAGCGAGCGTACGGTGCTTGCTTATATATACGGTCAATCGACGAACGCGGCCGAATCAAAATGAGCCTGTTATGTGCCAAATCCCGCGTCGCGCCCCTTAAAATCGTAAGCCTCGCGAGATTGAAACTGTGCGGAGCAGTACTTTTGGCATCATCATTGTTTACAACCGTTCGGGAAATCAACGCCTTTCCCTTTGAATCCGTAAAATTGTGGACCGATTCAACGGTGATCCTGAGCTGGCTAAGAAGAGAGCCATGCACGCTGAAAACGTTCGTGGCGAATCGAGTGTCCGAAATTGAAACAAAAACAGACGTTGCAGCGTGGCATCATGTCAGGTCCAATGGCAATCCAGCTGACCTCATGTCGCGAGGACAATCACCAACGGATTTCTTGAAGAATTCGCTTTGGCGTCATGAACCGAAATGGCTAGCCAACGACGTCGCAGATTGGCCCAAGCCAAGGTTTACCGTTGCCGAAGAAGTTCCGGAAACCTGTTCACCAACATGTTTCATGACCACCGCTGTTCTTGGCAACGAGATACTTGTTAGAATGCTAATGTTATTAATCGAGATATCTCACATCTATATGTCGATACTAAACTGTTTTTGTGCTTATTACACACACATGTAAGA